AATTAGATATTTTCACTTAATTACCAAATTATTTTTGAAAACGAAACTTAAGCGAAATAACACATTTAAAAGAATACTTGAAATCCAAAAAATTCGCATATTAAAAAAATCTGGTTTAAAATTCTTGTTTTTAATTTTTTTTAATTTTATGTAAATAAATAATTACCTACGTATTTTATGTAATTACTTACTTTACATAAATTAAAACAAAAAGTGGGAAATAGAAGTGAAACCTTTCACTTGTTGTTTATTTAAGAATTCTTTTGCTGTTGTCGTAATTGCCGCTGAGAGTCGATCCCAATAGCTGTGCGGAACACAAACGTCAAACCCTCCACGCACAAAATCTTCCTGATTTACGTAAGCTGCGCCAAATTCTTGCAATCGATCAGCTGCTACGATCGGTTCTGCCAAATTGCGCATTGATTGCGATAGCGCATGGGTGAAACGCTGAAATAGAATGCTTCTGAGGACATTATTTGAAAAAAAAGACAATCATAAAATTTAATTGAACGAAAACAAACTAATTCTCAGATGATTGTTTTGTTTACTTTCCTTTAGATTCAGAAAATATCAAATAATTTATGAATGGTTTTATCGTTTTTTCATTTTTTTGGGAGGATTGTCAAAATGTTTTTTCCAATTTTTATTAATTACACTGCAAAAATCAAATCGATTAATTGGCAGTGAAAAGAAATGAAAAAATTAAATAAATTTCTATTAGAAAGAAAATTGTCTGAGTTGAAAGAAAACTTTTATTTTTATCATTAAAATTAAAATTTTAAAAAAATAAGTGAAGAAGATGGGAAAAAGAAATGATTGTTTTCTCCCTGCAAAAACGAACAAATATATAATGGAATGAAAAGATATATTTTTTTTGAAAAAATAATGCCTTTTATTTTACTAAAAAATGGAGTTGAATAATTTATTTCTGCTCCAATTATGAGACTAATGCTCAAATTATAGCTAAAATTTTTGCTGAAATAGCTTAAAGAAATAAATTTTAGCAAAAATCATGTCTTTTAATTGCCGTTCAGCAAGAAGAAATTAAAACATGGATTTTTGATATTAAATGGATATTATAGTATATATTTGAAATTATTTCTTATTTTTGATAAAATTTTGAAGAAAAATTTTATACCTTTCAACATTTGAATGCAATGAATTTTAATGAAATTTGGAAATTCAAGGAAAAAAGGCTTGCAAAAATATGGTTGTTGAAAGAATTACGAGAAATAGCATAAGCGGAGAATAGTTAGATGGCCACTATGTAACTATTATCCGCTTATGCTTATCAAGAACTTATCTTTTATCTTTTAATATTTTAAGAAAAGGGACAAAAGGAAAAAGATTTGGGACTGACAATGTGATAATCAATGATCGGTTACAAGCTGATATATTGTTCACTAATAGTGTAATACTGATTAATTGCTAGTTACTGATCTGATTATTGACTACTGAATTACTTGAATCGATATTTCCATCGGAATTCTTTATTGTAGTGGAATGAATCATAGTTTGACCAACACTTTCTATGTCGTCTTTGATGCATCAAATTCATTTCGCTGACATGCAATCATTAACCAAATAATTACGAAATCACCGTCAAATTCAAAATTCCACTTCCCAATATTTTTATTATTCGTTTGCTCATTAGCTTTTTCGCCTTTGCTCAAAATCCTGGCATGTTATAAGTATTCATCAATTTAAAAAAATTAAAGGTTCACTTGAGCATGCGTTCGAAAGTTTACGTGTTCTTGCCACTGGTCAGTACCTTGAAGATGTTCCAAATTAATGACTACCAATAAATTTGGGTCCCGTTCAAAGATTATTCCAAAGACACGTTTCCCGAGATCAAATACTAAACCACGTGGTAACTGCCGCCACATTGTCGTCAGAATTGCTTTTTGATGCGCACTCAAACCAGTAATTTCACAAATATTTGGTCGTCGTCTGGCCCCATCCATATATCTGTGAAAGAAAAAGCAAAAGAAAAAGAAAAGTGAAACGAAACAGGGATTGAATTATTCTTTCTGCGTTATTTACTATAAATTATATCAGTTTCATTTTGTGATTTTTTAATTTAGACTTCAATTTGTGGGTGTGATTGCACAAATTTGTTTTTCATTGATGGTAGTTATTTCCAGAAATTCCCAACAAGTTGCTACAAGAATATTCTGTAAAAACCGAACTTATTCTAATTAATAGCATCAATTAAACAGCAGATAAAAAAAGGTTTACTTTCCGGTGTTCAGAGACTTGTTACATAGAATTTACAACTAATCAGGTATTATCATCTAAAACAGAGTAAAAAGTCATAATTATCTATGTTTATAATTATGCTACGTGCACTAATTGGTTTTATTCACTGAAAAACTCTTTTTCTTGAAATTTAGCCAAAAATCCCAAATTCTTGAAGAGGGTCGGATACCTCGGTTTTTCACGAAATGATTTGCTGCGATTCTTTTCGATAGAAGCAGTTGGCAATTCTGTTTCTTCCTCTTTTCGAAAACTTGATAATTTACGGGAACTAAAATTTGCTTTACTTCAAAAAATAATTAAATTTATTAAATTTATCGGAAAGTTCATCCAAATATTCAAAAAAGTGAAATTATGCGGTTACAAGAAGTAATTATGAAATAATTTTAGTTTTGTTGCTTTTTGTTGAGTAGCAAAATATAAAAGCAAAAGAGGGAAAGTTCGTTTAGTTATTTGAAAGTTTTTTTCTCACTTTAGTTAACAAATGCAATCAAGTCTTCCTCCTTTTCTTGTTCTTTGTTTCGTTTTTTTGAGTAAAATACAAAAAATAAATTCTATTTGTTTAAACAAAATGAAAATTAAATTGAAATGATTGGGTGCAATAGTGAACAATCGATTAAATTGAATTGTAATCTAATTACTGTAATCTAGCTATCGTAATCTAGAAAAAATAAAAAATTAAGTGTTGCTTAAGAAATTTTCAACTATTGCCACTTTTCCTCTGTTTAAAAAAAAGTGGAACAAATTATCAGTTATTATTAATTATTTCTTCAGTAAAAGAAAATATGCAAAAAATTTTAGATTTCTGCAAAGAAAAAAACGGAATGTTTTCCCTTTTTTTTGTTGAGAAATGATTGCTTGCATTTAACTTTTCCATTTTTGAAGAAAATAAACAAACAATAAAAGGAAGTGAGCAATAACGAAGCAAAAATGATACTGTAATTAACTTTTTTTTCTCCTTTCATTTCTTTATTTTATTATTCTTTTTGTTTGATTTTAACTAAATAAAAATATTTTTTGTTCTTTCTTTTTTTTGAGTGCACAATAAATATTGATATGATAAAATTTCAAATTGTCAATAATTTTATTCACTTTAAAAGCGATTTAAAAATTTTCATTTTTATTAAAATATAAAAAATAATAAAAAATTTTAAAAAAGTTAAAAAAATGAAAAAAAATTATAATGGAATAGTAAATGAAATTATGATACCCTTGCGGATGTGGAATTGATTCGCTTCTTGTTCGAGAGGGTGACGTCGTATATGAATGTCTTTTGTGGGATGTTTGACGAACTATTTTAGAAGATTCATGAAAATTCGTCGATTCTTTATTACCCATTTTCCGTTTTTGATCAATGATCAGATAGAATAGAATTCTGAAAATAATTTTTTATTAACACGCCAATAAACTCGTTCATAATGGAAAACACAGTTATACGATAATTAGCAAATAGTTTTTCATATATTATTTGATTAGTTCGTCGATTGATTGATTGATTGATGCACAAACGTATGTATATAAACCAATTAAAAAATGAAAATAGGAATTCAAATTATTTAGGTACTTAATATTCATCACAATATTGAATAAATATTGTACAGATATGCAACGATCTAGCAGAAATTATTCCCATCGATAAATAATAATCATTTCAGAAGACTGGCAACAAATACACTGAAATCGTCAGTAGTAAAATTAAATTAAATTGCATTCTTAAAGTAAATTTAGTTTCTTGTTTGCATCGAGTTCAGATTATTCAAATAATTCGTAGAAAAACCTCGTAGACTATTATCTTAATGATAATGATAGCTATAGTGATAACGATTGAAAATGTTATCATTAAAAGGATTAAAACTCTTGAACAAACAGAAGGATTTAATTATTATATCGTAAATTGCATCAATTTTTTTTTGATTTATTAGAATTAAATTTGGTCTATTTTTTCAAAATAAAAACAAAAGATGAAGTAAAAAAAGGATGAACGGAGTAACGGAGAAAAATATTTTCTGAATGAATTTCTCTTTTTATCTTTTTCAGATCAGAAAAGAACATTCTGGAGAGAGACACAGAAGTCGCCATTCCCAAAATTTCATAAATTTATGGTGACGATTTTCTTTCAAACAAAATTAGTCTTTTTACAAACGAAAAAAACTCTTAAATAAACTAATACAAAATTAGGGGATAGTTTCCGTTTATTAAATAATGAATTTCTTTTGATTGGATAAAAAGGTTGAATAATTTTAAAAAGTAAAATTTCGAAATTCAATCGATTGCAGATTCTCATTTTTTTTCTAATTTTTAGTTTTTTTTTATTCAAATTTGTGCAAATACAAATTAACCTTTGTACAGCGGACAAGTTTTTGATTTAATATTAAACAATGATTATGCAACAGCGACTAAGACTGAATTAACTTTTTTTGCAAAATTTTGAAGCTGTTGTGAAATTATTGTGTAATTAAGCATGACAATGCTAAGGTATAGTTGTTCATAAGTACAAAATTATTGAATTGAGTTAAAAGACCTTCACAGGATGGCTATACTTATTTTAAATATTTCCTACATCCTCTTGAAATTCGAAATTCTGAAAAACATATTTTCAAAAAATTTATTATTCTTTCGTTTCTTATTATTCCTTATATCAATGTTATGAAATACTGTTGTAAATTTTTCAAAAGTATTTGGAATTCGTTTACTTTAAGTCCAATTTACTTTATTTGCTTATTTTTAGTTTAGTTTAGGCAAGAAAAACTATCTGTCTTAGAAGTTATTTATTAATGAGTAATTTTTCAACTTATTAGTTCATTTGTTTTGTTTTTAATAAAATTTGATGCTGTAAGAATGGAGTTCCAATAGAAAAATATGTCATTACACTCAAAAATGGAATTAATTATAATTAACTATTACTATGCATGTCTTTGTGTTTTGTCATTACTTCGTTATTTGCATGTCGAAATTGGAATTCATTAAAATTTATGCAATAAAAAGACAAACAAACAAACAAGAAAAAAATTTGTGAAGTGGAAAAAATGAAGGAGAAAAGAAAAAAGGTCTCATGAGATTGATATTTTGTCATTTAATTTGTCTTTTTTAGTCAAATTTAATTTGCATATAATCCTTCCTGCATCAATTAATTTTCGCTCATTTTAGAAAACTAAAAATGAATTTTGCTTATTCTGCTTAATCGACAAGCTTTTTTAGGCCAATAAGTTGAATACTGAACAATAGGTTTTCTAATTAATTATATAAATACAAGCGATTGTCAATTGACCCTGATGATTTGTTTTATAGAAATAAATGAGCAATCTAGTGATCATATAAATTGCACTATAGTGATATATTTTATTTTATTTTGTAAATTTTTGAAAAAAAAACAAATTATGCTTAAAATTTGCTACTAATTTTACCATTCGTAGGATTATTTTATGCATAAAATACTCTGCTTAATGATCTTGTAATTGATTTTGTCTTAATATTAGTTCTATTTTGTGCAAAAAATAAGATAGAAAGAGAAATGAAAAAAGTTTAAGGATAATATGAAAAAACAAGACTCGTTTCTTCTATTTTCAAAATACAAGTTTTATATCTGTAATAATATTTTCATTTGAAAATTTTCCGTTTCAAACACTTGGAAACTCAAAAAAATTTTTTCAATTAGAAATTAATAATTAAAAAAATACTGTCTTAAAAATATCGGTTCTCACACATGCTATATTTTTTGATTCCACAACAATAAGATTGAATAAACAAAGATAAAATGCAAAAAGATTTCTAAATGTGGTTTTGAATTGGAAAAAATGTAATATCGGAAAATAAAAGAAAATGAGGAATCACATCAGACAAAAGGAAAGAAAAAAAGATTTCCGGAAAAGCGTCTTTAGAAAAAGCGTTTTCTGATGAATTTAATTCTGTTTGGCATACTGTTATCAGTTCTTTATCTGTGTATGCCTTCCCGTATGTGATGAAATGGGGAAGGAAAAAAGGAAAGAAAAAAATGAAATGGAGAGAAAAGAGAGGGGAAAAGATAAAAAGAAAAAACGGAAAAGAAAGAGACAGTATATAAGTTTATTGTCAATAAATATTATCATAAAAAATAATTATCATTTAATAATCGAGGATAATAATAATATGTAGATGATAGAAACAAATTTAAATCAAAAAAATTTAATCGTTTTGAGGAATGAAAAATTTTGTAGCTGAATTTTTTCCATAAATTTGAGTACCATTTTACATCATCATGAATTCTATTTCATCCTTATGATATGACAATTCTATTAGTGATAACAAACCTCCGCCAGGAAAATATACTGAAGACTTGAGTGAGGTCAGAAAACCGTATATTTTTAAGATATTAAATTATAACACTAAAATGATTCGATTTCCATGAAATGAGTTGAGGATGGATGGGCTTTGAAACAGGCATTTGCTGGAATAGTGAAAAATTTACTTAATGAAAATTTGAACTAAATTTTTTCTATTAATTATATATCAATAGTTGACAAGAAATTTTCGCAAACTTTCGAAATTTTTATTAAATTTGTTTATGCACACCTTGCAAATTTCCGTGTTTGTACGTCGCCTGCCTATTTGCAAAGCATTTTTTTGAAGGAAAATTAGCATAATTGATTCGGACGACTATATATTTTACAAGTGATTCGGGCAGGCAAATAGGATTCTACAACTTAGTCGGACAAAATAATTCTCGTGTTGAATGTCGTCTCCTATTTTATGAAGAAAAATTTTCTGACCATCGATTGAGTTAAAGTGAAGAAAGATGAAAACAAATAAAATTGTCTCAAAAAGGAGCATAATTTAAATTTTAATATTTGTTAAAACTTAAAGCGCTTTAAAATTCGTAAAGCAAAATAGGAAAATCTAAAACTTAGACACAGTCGAGTTCGTTAAATGGGCAAAAGTTTCAAACCTTTCACTTTTGAAAACTCAAAAATGATAATTTGCTCATTTTATTCGACTATGAATTTTTTCGCAAAATATTATTCAATTTGCCAAAAAAATGATGAGAAATATAACGTTTGCTTACTAAATAAACAAATTTTTGCTTTCGGCGCATTTATTGTAAAATAAAAACATGAAGCTTAGCCACGAATTTCATTTTATTTGAATTTAAAAAATTGCAGAAGAAAAGAAAGAAATTATTCTTTTTATAGAAATTTTATAAACTGAATATTTCTTTCCGCTTTTTTCTGCCAAATAAATCAAAAAAAGTTTCTAATTCTCGTCTGAGACACACAACGACGATGGATAAGAGCTAATTTGATGATGGAATAACAGCTGAAAGCTTCCTTTCCGGCAACTTTTATTCACTAATTCTTTCACGGCCAATGAACAAATTAAGAGCAATATTTTTTCCAAAAGAAGACGAAAGAGAAGAAGGCGTGGAGGATGAAAGAAAAAGCGCAAAAATTATGAATTTTCTACCTGATGTTTTTTTTCTTCAGTTTCCAAAGGAGGAAGAAGAAAAATAAGGAACTAGTAGAAATTGGAAAGAATGAAAGAGTGTGAAGTTTTATTTAATTTTCAAAAGGAGATGAGTAATAGGATGAAATAAAAGGTGGAAAGAATGATAGAGAAGAGGCAAGAGCCAAGAAAAAATTTTTATTCAAATATTTCAAATAATTTTTTAAATTGCTTTTCCAGTATTATTTATCATAAGTGCAAATTAATGATATAGGAAAGGTATCAGAACATAGATGAGCTGAAAATTTTTTAAATACTTTTGAAACTTTTTTTGAGGATTCAATCTTTTAGTGCTTTAAATATTTTTAAATTTGAGCCTGAAAAAAAAAACTTTCCTTCGTTAATTAATAATTAATATGAAGCGATTTGAAATTAATTCTTAAACTTTTCCACCGTTAATTTCATAATTCCAAGTATTGGGCTATAACACTTTGAAAATTGGACAGATTCATATTTTGGATAATAACTTATTCAATAATTTGTTTAATATGAATTGAAAAGGTAAAAAATGAATAAGCCAATTTAAATAGATAACAAATTTGAGGCAAAAAGGATAAGAAATTTCGCCATTATGCACACATTCAAATAACTTTCTCGAAATTAAATGAAATAAGCAATGAAAGAGATGATAATAATTAATTGTCATTTAATTAATTGGCGATATTTCTAAATTCGTATAAGTAAAGCTTATAATTTAACACATTACAAAGTCTTACAAATAAAATGAATTAATTATTTACAGAGTGCCGTCAAATAAAATATTTTTCTTTCCATTTTAGTAATTAACTAAATTGACATATAAATAAACGAGTAATTAACAAAACATATTCATATCTGACCTGTAAAAAAATTTTAGGCGACTT